GAAAACTTTTGTCGCTGCGTATATGTATAATTCGACGGGTATGATTCTAAATAACTTTCAAATACGCCGGTATCATAAAATGCGAAACAATTGCGACCGTTTCAATTATTAAAAACCCAAATCATACGTGACCAACTACGTTATTACAGGCTGCAATTGCGTTTTACTACCCATTGAATTATTACTATCGTAATAGTTTTTATTCGGTTCACGAGCGTATCGCATAATATACAACTAGGTACTCATACTGCGAGTCGACGAATTAAATATCGAATAATAAATAATACTGCGGCACGGCGGTATCACAAAACTATATCCGAACATTTGCGAAATCAAATACTTATGAATTAGAAAACAAAATATTATTAATATTATTATCACGCTATCTGGAAAATTCGTAAAAGAAAATAATACGCGATCAGGGGTGATGTATTCACAGGCCGTATCCGAACTGCGGGAAAAAACGGTCGAAAAATAGGAAAAATTGTCAACGAACATAATAAATCAAATGTGTTTAGATATTTTGACATTTTTTTCCAGATTTCCAAAAGCCAGGGATCAATAACTGAATTTTAATTTCAGATAACAATAATAAATATTTTTGTCGTGCAAATAAAGACAAACGCGCCCGACGAAATTATTCCTAATTTTCCTAGGTTCATTATGATTGAAACGGCGTTGGGCACGCTAAAACATATTCAAAATTTAAAGGGGAACCCGTCCGCCTACGTCCTTCCCCCAATTTATGCACCGACTGGGTACTCATGAATAATATTATAATATTATCAAAGACTATTATAAATAGTACATATTTACATATAAAAGTCTGTAAAATATGACGTATACTTCGCAAAATAACATTTTAATCATCGAGAAAACTAGCCTTATGTGGGTCTCATACCCAAGTGAAGGTAGAGGTAGATCTCAGGTAGATCTCCAATCATAGGTAGAGGTGTTTTTCAAAAAAACACTCTAACTAACCCTACTCGAATTTGTTAAGCATTGTTAAAATCGATTAGAAAACATATCAAAAGTGACTAATCATTACAAATTTTTAGATTTTTATGTATTGCAATGTACATAACCAACGCTACATAATACATACATATGAGAAAATATAAAAAAAAGCATACAACAATACAATATGTACCTCGGTATTGTTTGGTAGTGCTATGCGTTACAATAATAAAACATTAAATGGAACTACTGAAAAAGTAGTACTTTTAACTTTTATCAAAAGTTTTCTGCACGTCCAAAAAACTTTTCTAAATATTTTAAAACAACAACTAAGTAATAGCCTGACATTCATGTATGTTTTTTGAACGTGTAGATGATAATTTTATATTAAAATTGTTATTGTAATACATGAGTGTGGGCCTGGCACTACAAATTTAAAGTCGAATATTCTTGAAACTCATATCTAACAATAACGAGCATAGTCCCATATACATTGTTAGATGCATTTTTTTTATTTCATATAAAGTGCTGGACGTGTATTTAGCACTACAAATTTTTGAAGTTGAACAACTTTAGAAATTGTTTCCAACAGTCGTCTAACAATGTCCGAATTCGAGTCCGAATAAGATTTGTTCGATTTGTTTAGGGATATTGTAATATGTTTGTAGTGCCAGCTTCACGTGAGTATTAGATTTAGTATCAGCCCCGTAGTATAGTTTTGAAATGTAAAATATCGCCAATGTCCGTAACAATTTAAATACTTTAGAAATAAGAAGAAAACAATTTAATTTATTTTTTTTATATAAATTACTTAATAATTTAATTGAATGTCCTAAAATTAATTTGAGAAATGTCTATTTGTTTTATTCTAATCAATTAGTATCAAATGCATCAATTCATCGTTTAATGAGCATAGCTAATAGGTACGTTATTGGTCCTATTGTTAATAGTTTGTGTGAATTAAAAAGTAATGCGAATTTAGCTCTTAACTGTGAATAATAAAATAAACAATTTTTATTGTAATTGGACCTTGTGTCCGTATGAATCATATAAATAAATACCCATATTGTAAACCATATGCTATTATCGGGTTATATTATACCTACTCGAACGTATCGTATAATAATAATTTTTTTAATACACGATTAAATTAATAACATGAATTTCAAATAATAATTAGGTAATTTATACGCACGGGGTATATCTAATATTTTTTTATCTACATATCGTTGCGCGTTTTGTCGGTATCTGTATAGTAGATATTTTCAATATGTTCAGATTTGTATCTTATTCTAACGAAAAACGCCTGCAACTCGATGATAACGTGAGTTTATAGCGGTTTTTTTCACCGTTTGAAGTACACGTGCCTAAACAGCTATACGTATTTATAATAAAGGTTATTCGCTAAATTTACGCCGCGCTGTTCGTGACGAATCGACTGAAAACAGCATGATGCATTTGTAAAGATATATTACTTTTTATCTGAGTTTTCTAAAATACAAAAAAATATAATTATTATTATTCTAAAACAACGAAAAAGAACAGATTTTTTATTACGCCAGGAAAACGCCTAAAACGTGTAAACTTTATAAATAAACGATTGTATAATATTTATAGTCTATTAAAATGGAAAAACTTTTAGAAAAACTCCGCATTAAAACATTCTAACCTAACTTAGCCCTACCCGTTAAGAAATTTGTATTCAATAGTTTGCAAGATTAATTTCGTAGATATAACGGATTTATCTATGCAATTGGTCGGTATCAAACAGATTATAACTATGGTTCTCAGCTCCGGGGAGCTCTAGAGATCCACCAGAGTAATCTAAAGGCTCTACAGTAGACATATCTGAATTAAATAAAATATAAAAGTTTATATTATTTTTCATAGTTAAAACAAATTAAAAACCAAATCGTTATTTTTATGCGTTGCGGTTTAAAATTAACATTTTTGGTTCTTGGACCTCCGTAGATTTTTAGTGAGATAAAAGCTCTGCAAACAAAAAAGTTTGAAAACTGGATTATAATATTAGTGAGTTAAAGATAAAGAAAAGTCAAATAAAATTTAGTGATCAAAACTATAGACAGCAATAAAAAGTGAAGAAGGAATCACTGACAAAAGACAAAACAAAAAATAGTCACGCAAAAAACTGAATATAGAAAGAAAAGGAAATACAAAACAAAAATAACACCAGAAATACTATCAGTTTCCTAAATTAACAACAGCGGTGAGATAAAATTATAAAGAATGGCTAGAAAATTATAGAATAACATTATGAAAACAGAATGAATACCACTAGCTTACCAGCAATTGACGTTCTCGGCTATTTCCAATTTCATATCTACTGTTTATCTACTGTTTTATGTTTGGTTGTGGTAAACCAAAATCAATTTTCCGGAAAGGCAAAAATAAAAATGATACACTTCATTAATGCTATTTCTGTAAACACGTTATTTTTTGCTCTTTGCAAAATGCGTTTGGTACATGTTTTTCTATCGGTAATTTATTTTGTTTTACAACCCGTGATCGCGTTATAATATTATGATAATCTACTGAATGCATGTTAGGCAAATTATATGTATTTCTCACCTGGCAGAAGTATTCTCATGTTCGACACATCCACCAATTGTAGAGTATGTTATTATTGCTGATAACTATTTTCGATTCCGGTATATTCAGCTACTTAGTGTTCCCGTTTCGATCACTGCAAATGATGAGAAAAAGGGAAACAATTAAAGACTCTACAGATACAAGAAATTTTATAACAAAATATAACTAAATACCATACAAATCAAAAATACTTACAAACCAAAATCCACCATTTCGTTGAAATTACGAAAGACGAAAAACTGTGACGAAATTACCTTTTTTCCTAAAATTCAATGTGTAAAAAGTGTTCAAAAAGAAATTACATTTTCAAAAATTGCGATAACATTTACATTGTGATAGTACATATTCTGCAACAATTTATTTTATCATCTTCGACTTAGAAATTGTTATTTAATGAATTTTACAATAATACATTTAAATGTTTGACCAAAAGTATTTTAATTTACTATAAGTATAAGTATACTTGCGCCTAGCTCTAGTATGACTATAAAATAAATTACTTTTTTTAAAAGTTTCATTCATAGTATAAATAAAAGTAAATTCATTATATAAGCTACGATAAAATCAAAAAATATAACTATAATACCCAGTTGTCGTTATGTTTTTGTCGCAGTTTACATATTGGCTTTCAGAAATGTTAACTCCCCTACTATATTAACACACATGTAAACTCCTTTTAAAAACATTTAAAATACCATTTCCTTGATTCAAAGCAGTAACGACTCGTACCCCAGTCCGTTGTTGCTAGCCCACATAACATTTACTCAAACTAATTTTAAATCCAAAGCGGAGCGAAGGGTCTATTGGTTTTACTAGGTATGTTTATTTTTCTGTCTGTTAACAAATTTTTGAAATGAAAATATGCTCCGATGTAGTATCTTTTCAGCGAGGATATTTTAGTTGGTGCATTAAGGAGGTCATTTTTTGATTTTCCAAATGATTTTTCAAAATAATTGGGAAAACCCGAAAACAAAATTTTAGGTAAAATGGCAAATATTTACAGCACGTCGCAGTGTAACGATTTCATTGTTTTTAATTTTTTCGAACTATGTTGTTTACCAGAAATAATACTTAACCGAAAAATGCCATACCTTTGGACCATAGACCTTTTTTATTGCTTTTTGGATTTAGTTGCTCACGTACAATCATTATTGCCTGATTTGTACAGCCGAAATTATTAGATGGTTCTCTGCGTGCATTGTTCGCTCATCGAGTGTACGTTTATTTAATACATCGAGAACGTACCTCTATATAATACGACCGTTTTAATTAACCCGTCGCCCAAAGGCCAGGTTTCTCTATATCATATATTGAGAACGAGAACCCTTTTCTCATTTCCGAGCTAAACACAATAAACCGATTCATCTCTCACCTTAGTATATAATTAGGCTTTAGACAATAATAATGATCAAATATACAAAATGTCGTAGGTACCTAATCGTATTTGGCAGTTCGTAAACTCCTTTATGATTTTAACGTCAAACACAACACTAAACGAATTCAGTGGGGGAGAGATAGGGAAGAGAACAACTGCCGCAAAGAGGCGAAACATCGTTTTGAACCGCGCTGCGGCGCCCGTGAATTCATTGTCACCCCATCGTGCAATTTCTGTGCCGCCGTCGTCCATTTATTATTATAATATGAAATACATCTCAACGGAACACCGCAATTACAAAAATATACAAGACCTCCTCGAGTGCTATGACGCTGCCAACTGCACACAACATTAACATGACGCAAGAGGCTGTACCCCAAAACTGTACACCAAATAGGTAGTTTTGCTAAAAAATAAACCAAGTTTTAAGTAAAATTAAAAATAATCTTGTGGTTAAAAAAAAAAAAAAATATATCACATACCCATTTTGACACTGACCTTGTACAATGGAAGTATCTCGAACGTGTCGTTAGGGTAGGTTAGTGTCTGTTTTATCGATTCGCATTTTAGTCTCTATTGTAATGCATTGCCTACGTCGTCACCGTAATCGTTAATCAAATAATAATAATAATAAACCAAAAACTTGTTTTACAAAAAAATTAACCGTAATTTTGTTTACGTCCTATTTTTTAGAGTGTATATCATAATACGAAGAATGTCGGTTTAGTTTATTTCGTACAAACTAAAAATAAATATATTATACTTTTAAAAACTCTGATATATAAAAAAACTGACACGGTCCTATGAGGCCTCTAAGACCGTCGAGTGTTAAACTAGTATGTACTATACTACCGCGACGACAGCCGACAACACACTGAATGTCGACTGAAATACGATAACACTTATTATTCGTGTGCGAAAAAAAAACTTACTTACTTACTACCTATAGGTTAGATCAGGTCTGGTAGCTATAGATACCAGCGGGAAACAACAAAACACAATAACAATGATTTTCTTTTCTGACAAAATTGAATTATTTCTATATTTTTTTTCTATTTCGACTATTCCCGTTGTAAACACAATTAAATTACATTAAATAAGTGACCCCTCTCTAGTATATGTTTAAAACATTTCGAAAATCTAAAAACGAATAAAACAATAACCATCATAGTTTACAAAACCACTCGTACTTGGGTTAATATACCAGCTGACACACCCGGCATTGCCCGTGCAATTAAAAAGTTTCTCCCCGTGTCCCCGTCGGACAGGTAACAAATGTGCGTGACGGTATTTTTCGTCATATTTAAACAACGGTACAAACTTACTATTGACAAAACTAGAGTATTCGCCGATTATATTGTACGCAAATTAACAGCTCGATTGTTCATTAGCTTACTGAATCGGAATTAGGCTTAAAACCTGCTACGCGACGTACACTATCATTTAAAAATACCGCATAGCGATTGGATGAGTAGTTCCCGGGGTCGTTCGTGATGACATCCTCGTAGAATTTGTCGTAAATAATGTAAAGTTCACCCTGCGGTAGCGCAATCGGGATTTGCCAAAGAGGGCAGGGGCCCGAACATAGAAAATTATTTCGTCAAGTACAAATTTTTATGTTAAATATGACGTAAATTATTATTATTATAATTGCATATATTACATATTACATATTTATATCTATACAGTATAGTATATATATATATATATTATGTTATACAGTATGTATATATTTTATGTATACTATGTATGTGTACGTAATGATTAATGCGATTTTTCGTAACGCTATAGTGTTTAATACCATAATTATCATGAGCGAAAAAAAGTCGTGTTAGGTTAATGATTACGTTTCACATTTCCCCGCTCTTTGTGTAACTATAGTTTTCCCAATTTTTTTTTTTTTCTCGTTAGGTTTTCTAATAGTCTCCTCCTCTAAAATATTGCCCGAGCGCTGACGGTAACCAATCCGACGAACCTAGCCGAGCACCTACCACACAACCCATTATGTCTTTCCGAAAAAGTATATTTAAAAAAACACTTCTTTTCTGTTGTTTTATACGTGTCTTCAATTGATATATTGTTCGGAATCTAAAAATCAATACTTTTTAAATTTAAAAACTTCGCGAAAGCTATTAAATATATAAAGTAATAAGACATTTTTTTTTTTTTTTGTACCCGACAATAATAATTATTGTTCAAAAGCAATATTTATAAAAGGTTTCGAAATCGAAATTTTATCGAGCAGGTATGGTACAGTACGCATACATATAAAAAATAAAAAAATATTTAATTTTCTCGGAGTGGTGATTATTGTTGTACCTACGAGACTCGTGTACTTATAAGTCGCTGCAGGTTTTTTATTTTATTTTTTTTTTTTTTAACAAAATTTTGGACGAACCCGTTGAATTAATAATCTCAAAACGGTTAACAATAGCAGTCACGATTTCGTACGTATACCTGGTATACTTTTAGAATATTATAAAATTTATATAGTTGCTGTGAAAATGAATTGCTCGGAAATCGTCGGCGCACAACATCGGGTGGTATACTTGTGCCGACACCGTCGTTGGCAATTCGTACGGCATAATAATATCTGTGTCAAGGGATATAGGAGTGCATAACAAACGAATTGTTTTTATTTAAATATCGAATAATAATGATAATTTTAACATCCACGCATTGTAATTTCTCATTAAAAACTAATACAATACTCGTACACGTTACCCGCAGCAGTGCCTAAACTCGCGTTGTGTTTGTTAGCTGAATAATAATAACAATAATATAATGTATTATTGAAATAAAACCGTCGTCCTAAGAAGCGGCGAGTTTTTTATTATTATTATTATTATTTTTTTTTTTTTATTATAAACACTTTCTTACATTTATCGTCCTCCGCGCCAGTTGTCCGTCAAAAACACAATGAAAAACATTTGTGTGCAATTATTCGTTGCATAACGAGTGCCTGACAAAATATTATACTCGCCGTACGTCCAGCTCAGTGACTGAGGACAATTTTCTGAAGGGCACGAGGGGGAGGGGGGAGTCAATGAATATTTGTCGCAGGTAAATGAACAAAATCCACACTATCGTGATTCGTAGTCAGAGTTACGAGCCTGCGACCGAAGGCATTTACGTGAAATGTGAATATTAAGTTTTACTGTGTTGTTGCAACGACAATATTGGTTTGCTGCAGATAAATGATTATTAGGGGTTAAAAACGTTTTGCGAATTATTTTATACTTGGTTTGTGCAACGGTTCGCGCCGATCTCTCCCGCCTCAGCCATCCCGTGTGCAGCGTAATTCCGTGGGGGCGGTTTTAGAAAAAGCTAGTCGTCCGATTCGTATACCAACACGCTCGACTCATTTCGCGTATTTTATAAACCCACAATGAGAATATAGCGTTGAGTCACCGATATTGTCAGTGTTGTAACCGATCTCGTCTCGTAAATATAATTTTGATACCTATCATACAGCTCACTTTGGAAATAATTTCCAACAAATAACAGAACAATTAACGTTAGTTCTGATACTACAATGACAGTTCTCTTTAAACTCGGGCGCCTTTTAAAAAGTGCCGTTAATTTCGCCCGTACTAATTACAACTAATTACAAATATAATAACTTCACACTATATAATTAACATTCTTTTACTCGCGTCATTCATCTTATCGAAAACCGCCTCTCTGGTAAACATTAAACGTATACATTTGAGATAACGCGTTCAAGTTTCCGTGCATACCTACTGAATTAAAAGACGTATTCACGCTCTGCCCTCTCTGAACCTATACATTTTTTTTTTTTCCGTGGGTTTTTTCCTTGGTACATTTTTTTCCGCCTACCATCCAATAGATATTCACTTGATAAAAACTGGCCAGAATCGTACCTCGAGGTCTACCATAACCGAGCGTAGTCTACGCAATATTATTTATACCACTATAATAGTATGGTTTTATTTATTTTTTATAAGTAAATTCGAGTGCTGTTCGATGTTATTGTTCGCCTAAATATATCCGACGAGTACGGTAATATCTGCGGATTGATAATAAGCGTTATCAATGTTGATACGATTGAGACTTAAATATGAAAATGTATTCCGATTGGCATCAATAACAGCATTACATTTGAACTAAAATTTGAATTCTGCGAACATACAATACAATGTGCTGTTCTTAACACTGAGGTATTATAGCCGAATTCGACTTTCGTAAATTATTGCGTTTTATAAATAATGATCAGTTATAAAGAGAATAATAATGATTATAATATGCAGGTATAATAACTCTAATAATCGATTAGTCATGGAATTTTTTCCGCCCGAAACTGCAGACGTTAATTATAGCTTCCGTGTTTAAAAATAATAACGGACGTGCAATTTTATAAACGTCCGAATTTGGCACGTACTGCTGCAATAGTATAATTTTAACCCCTCCATTATAATTATATAAGGCTTATAGAGTGTTGTCGGTGTTTATTTCTGCATACCTTCTACAACAACTCGGAATTAACTGCTCGCTAATTTATAATTATTATTTTTAATTCAGATACGAATTTATTTCCTATTTTTACTTGGGACTCGTGTACAACAAAACCAGCTGCTCTGCCGATCTAAATGTCAAATCGTTTTGAATGTGGTAAACTATTGGCCTGGACACAATAGTTACATGAACATTTCCAGAAGGTAATCTTTTTGAAAATTTGAAAATGTATAAATTACCGATTTCCCTTGAGAGCAAATCGATCATTAATCGGTATTAATTTTAAATAATTTATATTTGCCCATTTTTTTTTTCATTCGTATATAATATTTTTACCGACATGATCTTATAACTAAATAAAACGAAATATTATAATCGAAGTAGTTTACTCTAAATACACGTTCTGAACTTAAGCTGATTGAACTCAACTTTTAAGTCGTTTATTGATTTTTTTTTTTTTTTTTTTTTTTTTTTTTTTTGCGTATATTTATACGTTATTTACGTATTTTTAGCGTAAAAGTAAATTATTATTTTAGTAGTTATTTCCAAATATTATCTCGAGAAATATTGTTGTTTAGCAATAATTTTAAACTGTCAATATTCACGATTTGCTATTGAGTTTTAACGGGGGAAGTGGGCGCGCTAAAACAATTAATGCATTCCAATTACATAATTCGTATGCAACAGATTGGTCCCTAACTGATACTTTGAAAAAGCACCTTTTATTTTCCATTTTTCGGAGTAATTTTTATTATTATTATTACCAGAGGTGTATACAAAGAAGAGACTAAACGGGCTATAGCTTCCCCCCAACGGGCCGTTTCCATATACGTATACTATTTTACGATTTGGATGTCAACTACGTTTTCAGTTATTTCTTCCATTCCTGAAAGAACATTTTTTACACTGAACCAAATGGAAATATATTTAAGGATGAGTACTAATGTGTCAGCAATATCAATAGAAAATAGACTATCAATGAGTTAACAATGGCTAATATAAAGAAAAAAAGATACAAATTAAAATTATAAAATTACTGTGTTTTAAATTTTGTGCGAAGCGAGGAATGTATTGGTTTTACAATGATGTTTATTTTTTTTTTTCTGTAAACAACTTTTCTGCCAGCAATTTTGCTCCAATATTCAAGTAAAGCACTATTTCTGAAAGGAAATCTGGTCTTTTTTTATTTTTCATAATAAATGGGAAAAAAACGTAAGAAAAACGGTAAGATTTATGAAATGTATTATTTTTAAATCGAAAAATAACATCCTCAAAACATGTAAAACCGAACTCCACTCAGAATCGTTTTTCGTTAATTTAATGCTTTTATTATTTTAAATTTTGTTTTCTTATTGTAATGCATTTGAAAATGTTCGTAGAGACTTAAAAATTAATAGAAAACTTATATTTGCCTTTTCTAAACATGGTAAAATTAAAACATTTATTTGCACCCTTTTTGATTTTTTTATAAACATTTTAATTTTAGTATAAGGACTAATAAGGTATAGTAAGTTACACGATATATCAAGACATTATGCAAATTAAATTCTCATTTTATTTTAATTATTTCTTTTTTTTTTTTCAATTTTATTGTTGTTTAAATTAATAAATTATTGAAAATCATACATTGATGAAAACCATTTCTAAATTTTTAATTTTTTTTTTTTTTTGCAAGGAGGGGGGTTAAACCCTGCAAACTCCTCTTATCTACACGCCCGTGATTCAAACGAAAACGTATTTAACCCACTTCCCCTTTTTAATTCAAAATCTTGGCTACGCCGCTGATTAATATTTTTAATAAATTATCGAAAATATCGAATAATAGGTGCGGCACAAAAACGACACGATAACGATGACGTGCACACGCATCTCGTCATCGTTCATTGGACGGGTTATTGTTCGATTTTACCCGCTAACAAGTGTAGTATTTACACGCGATAAACGGAATTCGTTTTTGCTTTATTTAATCATCCGGCTCATCGAAATTATAATAATATATACTTTATAGAAGTACCCGGGGGACCGCTTTCGATATAGTATAATAATATTATCGCTCCGTTCAATTCCCAGACAACATTTCGTTTTGCGTTGCCCGGCTCTATACAGGTTGGTATGTAGGTTTACTTTTTATCCATATAGAGCGATCGTCTACCCATATATGTATATATATATGTGTGTGGGTAGACGATCGGTAGACGATATATATTATATTATATAAGAAGATTTTAAGTAAATTCGATTAAAACTTACAGCGAGTAACTTATAATAATATGTAGGGGCGTTTCTACGACCCGATCAGCCAGACGTACAATGCTCGCCGACATCACCCTTCTATCGCGTAGCCGTGGGAAAAATGTTTTCTGCGTCGATATTGCTTATAATTACGATTTTTAACTATATTGCATTATAGGAATCGTTAATTTCGGAAAGGGCATTATGTTCGAATTGTAAAATTGTTCAAGGCGAAAAAAAACACTTTAAATACCTAGAGTTCTATGAAAAATATCGGCTACATGTAAACTCCTACACTTTTTTATTTTTTTTACTACTAAAACTTTTTTTACCCGAATTTAAAAGATAATTTAATTTCTCCTACACGAGTCCTTTTTATCTTTTTAAGTTTGGGATAAGTATTGCACCCTACAACACGCAGGCTTGGTACATGTTATATACTAAGAGTAAATGCATGATTTCATACTTAAAGATATTATATTATATTATCCCTCCACCTAAGAGATAAAAGGCTTATCAATGATCGCCGAACAAATAGAATAAATGTATCGTACAATAAAATTATTTCTGACCGCGTTGTTTGCAAACTCATAGGTAGCATTGGTCTTGGTGTTTTGTATGCACGAAACATGCATACAAATTAGAAGCAGTGATGCACCATGACTTCAGCAGACAAAAACAATTTCAAAATATGTTTACATAAATACCCAAAAAATAAAAAAATGTTTAAAAAGAAATTTCACACTACGAATTTAACAAAAAAGCAGGCTATAGAAATAAAGAACACAAATAAACGTTTTTTTTTAAAAAAAAAAAAACATTTAAATCAAAAGTAATATGACGGATTTTATAAAAAAAATTGTTAAAAAATAAAATTTACTATATTTTTTTATTTTAATAATTATTATTTATAGACCTATTATTTTTAATTGATTGTTGGATTATTAACGGTATTTTTAACTTACAAGACTGATGTTATTTTTTTTTTTAAATACAATTGGAATTTTCGTTTAAACTTTCTATTGAACTATTTAGTTTAGGAGATTACACTATCTTGTAAAAGAGTTAACACTATCTGGTATAGGGATTCACACTATCTTGTGTCGACGTCTACACTATGTCCATATAATAGATTACCTAATTTTGTACGAGTTTTCCATCTCCTATATTAATTATTATTTATTAAAATGGACTTGTATTTTTCTTTTTTTTTTTTCTTTACATAAATATTTAGTATTTGAATTCTTCCTTCAGAATTTAAAAATTTGAAAATGTGCTCTTCTGCATTTTCGATTAGCGATTCATGTATTATGTTAAGTTGTTGACGAAATATATGTCATAGGGCTGTGCTGTATTTAAAAGTAGACGCCAAAAATGAGTAGTAAAAAAATGTATATAAAAAAAAAAACTAATAAAAACAGGTATTTATTAACAGAAAAAGTGTAAATGTAATACTGGTAATATTGGTTGTGATTTTTTTATTGGCCAGAATAAAAATAATTGCGAATAAATTTTCGTTATATAAAGGCTGTGAATAGTGAATTAATTTATTTAACATATCATAAGATACAACTTCTTAGTACAAAATTCGAATAATAATACAGTGAATTCAGGTTTGAAAGTTGTATTAGGTGTGACGGTTTTTCGATTTTATTGTTATTTTTTTTTTATTTTTCATTATTTCATGTTCTTAACAACTCCTATTCATTTAGTATAAAATTTAGATATATTTTCATAACTCATTGTAAACGATTTATATTACAAACTCACAGCCCTAAGTATTATTATTTATAATATATACAACAGCGAAGGGTCCTTTCTGTATTCAATTTAATAGTACTTGTAGTACTGAGGTGAAGACGGAGCCACGGTTTGGGATTGATAGTATTCGTTTTGGCCTTCGTGTTGATATAGTTGGTCCACGTGGTGGAGTTGTTGTTGTTGGTCATGGTGGAATTGGTGACCATCGTGGTGTTGGTAATGGTGATCAGCTTGATGCTGGTTAAGTTGGGGTTCGTCGTGGTGGAATTGGTTTTCGTCATGGTGGGGTTGGTGGAGTTGGTGCTCTTCGTTGTGAATCTGGTGTTTGTCGTGTTGGTAGTGATGATCATTGTGATGGGGTGATTCGATCTTTTTTACGACCGCGTTGAAACCCTCGTCACCTGCCGTGTACTCGACCACGCGAGTTGAACCGTCGGCCTCCAAGAGACTGTACGATCCCTTGACGTTACCGTGTCCGTCACTCGACTCAGACTGACTCTTGATGTCGTGTGTATGCGGGTCCTTTACGCCGTACTCGAAGTGATAAGGGCCGGTCACCGAGTGATCGTCGCCGTCATCGTAATGATGATGTTGGTAATCATGCTGCACGTACTGCTGCTGCGGAGGGTAAGCAGATACCAGAACCACATATCCTAATAGAGCAGCCAACACGGTGGACTGAAATTTATTTGTAAAACAAAAATATAAAACGTAATTTTATTCTATCCGATTTCCCAATAAGTCGAATGGTTTTAATTTTTTTATCGTGTATAAATAATGATGAGAATGTAAACCAAAGGTTTCCAAACTTCTTTCCCCGTACAACACTTGCTAATTTATTCTGTTTTTTGTGGACCCCCTGATATGATTTATTACCCCTATTCACATCTCATGCACCCTTAATTTTTAGACGTAATTGTCTTCTTACGGGTCATAATAAACCCCTGAGGTCTATATAGACCCCTTTGGGAACCTCCGATGTAGACGAATACCCTATTAATAAAAAACATATTTCACGTAAAACAAAAAATTCGAAAAAGCTAAGTAACCCCCAAAGCAATTTGTATACAGTATTGATTAAATAATTGTGTGCTGAATAAATAATATAATATTTTATTGTTCATTCTCCATAGGATATTTGCGAGAACCATTGCAATTCATTTTGATGGTAAATCTATGTTGGCAAATTAATAATAATTTCAAAAACTCCATAATACAAGTATTTTTACTTGGAACTATGGAAATTATGTACTTAGGAGTTATTATTAGGCGTGTATTGTTATACCATCCAGTGGCGTATTCATAAGGATAAGTTAAAGAGATAATTCAAATTTCTTTAGCTTCTAGTCAGAAAAATCAACAACTTAATGTGTTGATACCTAAATAGTTGTAAATAATTCAAATCTGAACGAATACATTTTCGTAACGTAACGAACTACTATAATACGCAGGAGTTTAGATTAGAACCGAAATAGTTAATTAATTAATAACAATTCCCTACAAATCCTAACAAATCCCTAGCAAATCCCTAGGTATATATAATTATTTGGTTTCGATGATAATTTTAGGGCAGATTGAATAATAAATTACTTACAAAAATATTTAAATTAAAAATTGATCTTTTTTTCAGCCTTAAATGTTTTCGACGATTTCAATATTTAATATCTCCCTCCATGACAAAATCCAAAATACGCCACTGATACCATTTACACCATAAATATGAAGATGTCAGGCAAGAACGTAATAAATGTAACTATATTATAGTGGGATGGTTGTATTGCGAACAAACGCATTTCCGTTTTCGAAACACGAGAATTTAAATTAGGGATCCCATACCATAAACCTTTTTGAGCCGATCATTTATTTAATTATTCCAAAGTCAGGGAAGGTGGTATAAATTGAGTATAATATTATGATAAAAAAGAAAATTATACACGCAAATTAAAAAAAAGGTCACTTCCGTGGTAAAAATGAAAACGTTTCGTCTATTATGTAACGTTATATATTATGACGTATTGTTCGCTCGAATAGTAAAAAGAGCCCTTTAAATATATATATATAAAAAGTGATCAATCTATCGTATAGCATTAATTATCTCAAAACGTATTAACTTTTTTCGAAATGTAGTTTATAGAAAATTTAGGAAACAAGCAGCTCCGCAATTTTACATTTATTTTTTGTCACCCTTATTTTTGAGAATAAAACTACTTTTGATTTTCAAATAGTAACCTATATATTAAAAAATCTTTATATATATACGGAGTATTAGTTAAAATAAATTATGATGTTGAACTTTTTGATTTCCGTCATTCCGTTGACGAGATATTCCACTTTTAAGTTTGAATAGGTGAGCATAATTTATGTGACGGCACGGCGCGAGACGTCTTAATAATGCAACACTACTCTTCCCCGACCCAAACTTAAAATTGGACTATCTCGTCAACGGATTGACGAAAATCAAATATGTTTAACACCAAGATGTATTTTAACTAATATTCCATTTATTTATGGAATTTTTAATATTGATTAACATTTAAAAATCGAATGTAGGTAGAAGTTTTACTCCAAAAAACAAAGGTGATAAAAAATAACATAAATTTAAAACTGGAGAGCAGCTTGTTTCTTGAATTTTTTATGAAAAAAATTCGAAAAAGTTTATACTTTCCGAAATAATGAATGTCTTACGATAGATTGATTTCTCTGTATATTATTATACATACTAAAATGAATTGTCTCGGGTTTTTTTTTTTTTTTTGTAACTCTAATAGTATTGTCCTTATAAAAAATTATTTTTCGTTGGTCGGTGGCGATTGTTGAACTTCGCCCACGCCTACGTCACAAGAAAATCGACTAGGTGTCTAGGTGTACATATTATGCATTATAATATGCTAGTATAAAGCAAATCAAATAATCATCTCACCTTTATTAAAGCCATACTGGAAGTGTTGTGTAGACGGACGCGTAAAACGGTAGACAAATGATTGCTGTTTTCACAAAAGCGAAACAGACACGAATGATGAACACTGAAACTTCGTACGGGGTATTTATACTGCCAGGTCCTTCCTTGACAAGAATTCATTATACAAGACGGTTTACTTATCCGTGTACTTTTTTTATTTTTTTTTTTTTTTAACTACTAATAAAAGTATTAATTACGTCAACTATTGTGGGGAAAAATACACGAAAATACGCTCATCTTCCAATTCTCACATTACATAATTGATTGTATATTATGTATAATATTTTAATTAACCACGATTGCGTTGTATAATATTTAAGTTTTAATATGAATATACGTGGATTTTAATAATACACATTTCTTATAAACTGAAGCGGCGAGTGATTGTCTCGATGAAATTGTTATTATTTTTTATTTTATTTTCATTTTCTCCGTCCCATTTTTATGCGATATATAGTATCGTTGTTTTCACAATAACCGTTCTATAATAACTACAGTATACGTACACAATATTTTTTAGTTCTCAGCATGTGCACGGGTACTCGATCAACTCCGGTTTTTAATTAATTTACTTACGCGTTGATAAATAATAACGCCCGTCTAATATAGTGATGTGACTCGCGGGACGTATTTCAAAAAGCACGGTCCAGACACTACTAGGTAGCGTCAACTTTCCCAACTTCTCATCTATAACAGTGGCGACTGCGTCCGTCCCCATTTATCCTAGGTCAATTTTTTTTTATGTTTAAATTTCATATTTTCACAGGAAACAACTGAGTTTTAAATACCCCTATAAACTGAAACGTAAAAAAAACTCTGTCAACCATAACTAATTTCAGATCAATTATAAAAAATTAAACATGAACACCAGTCGGCTGTGGGAAAATTTAACGGATCTCGGTTGTTCGCTGGTATTTGTTAATATTGCCATTAAAATGGCGCGATCCCCATTCATAATACGAAGTGATGACTGCAAGTACACGGATCCAAGCAATATAATAACTCGAGACTACGACCACGAATGAAATTTAATTTGACCAAGAACATTGCAACAATGTAACCTATAATATTATTAAATTATAATCATACTTTACACCTCTATACATTTTATTTATTTTCATGATTTTTTTTTTTTTTTTTTTTGTTTCGCTTTCTGAAGTTCGATTTGCTAACCCGACACGAATGATATATTTATATAGGTACCTGTACACAACGACGTGCCCACTTTCGATCTCGTACAATACAATTATAATGGCCGTATAAGTATACCGAGGCGGAATATTTTCCTGAACGTTTTCATACGGCACATTAAGATATTATTGCGCCTGCAGCGACATTATTTCCGCGTATGTATTTTATTAGTCTAGAAGAGCCGAGTAGGTATATAGATATAAACGCAAATGCAATGCAATGACGTTTCGCGTTTCATACGATAATTCCACTCCACACGCCTCGTTGAAAATTAACGTACAGTTTGTTCAATATGGTGCGCACAACACCGTCTATACTCTGTATCGTCTAATATTGTACCACTTGTACGAAACGAACGTGTGTTCGCTGAAATATAAAATAATTATCAACGTATTTTCGACGGGTTTTTTTTTTTTTTTTTTTTTTTTTAAGTCCC